GCTTTGTCGAGTAAAATAACTTTGTGGTTTTGGTGGTCTGTGACTATGCAAGCATGACAGACACAAGATTGACAAGGAAGGCAGAAAAATCTTGTGATCTCTCGCTGGTGGTACTGTTGTGAGCAAAAGGGCTGTCGCTTCAACAAGGCTTCGTAGTCTTGAGTTTGAAATTCTTTGATGGGCATGACTTTATGTCCCTCGAATGCAGCCCGCATAACTTCATGCGCGCTTAAACAATCGGTGCACAGAAATCTTGCGCAATCAAAGCAATAATGAACATCGGAGCTTGTTTTGTTACAATTGCCACAAGTTATGCTACTTCCATCGCCACTCTGTCGGACAGCAAGGAGACTCAACAAACTGTTGTGGAAAAGACTTGTCGGCAAACTGTCGAAACGATTTCGTTCGGGCAGATCGATTTGGGCTTGACGCTCTGGACAACGGAACTTTCCTTGTCTGTGGCTGGCTCTTGCATGATTCTCCAAACACTGACAGCAAAATGTGTGTAGACATGATATAGTTTTGGGTTGGTTGTAGGTATCGAGACAAATCGAGCATTCAAGATGTTTCTTGAGGTCTTTCAAAAGGGACTCCATGGTAAACGTTTTCTAAAGAGTGGTTGTGAAACACACGCCCTGTTAGAAGTATTGTTCGTGATTCCGAGAAAAACAATTTCGATTTCGTCTACAACTATCTGACCCTGCTAACCAGAAGCCGAGTTAATTAAAATAGTTTAATACGGATTGGTGGTTACTCAGGTAAAACGCTTTTCTTGTTGAGTTGTTGTGATCTTATGTCGATCAGGAATTGTATGATGCATGTAAAATATGGATACACTCCTGGAGTTGGTACACAAGACAATCTGTGTGGGGGCGGGGAGGGTGGGGAATGGGTGCCCAAGTATGTTTTGGGTGGGTATGTCGTCGACTCCAGTTTTCCAAATTCGGACCAATTTTTTGAAAAAATGCATTAAAAAAGGGTATCCCTTTGTGAAACGGCCAATTGTTAGTACATTGTTTTAGAAATTTATTAAATTTTAATAACCCGTTGATGAAAAGTCATTTCTTTGTTAACGATATGAGTCACCTAACGAACGTATTTTCTAAACAGTCTCTGTGGCTTACTGAAAATTGCTGATGAGAATTGATGTATCCGTGCGCTCGGAACTTTGTATCCCCGTTCTAGGAAAAGTTTCGAATATGGATACCCCATAATATATCAGGAGTTCCGAAATCACCCGTATAGGTTATTTGGTAGCACCCCCCTCCCCTCAACCTTTAGTATACACTGCTGGAGCTGTAACTTCATTAGAATATAAAGTTTTCATGAAGAGGAGGACACGCGTGGTTGAAGACATTAGAACGAGCTAGCATTCTCTGCTTAACATTTGTGAGGCAAATTTCCGTGCACGTAGAATCGTGTTGGCTTAAGATTTTGAAGATCGTAAGCTGGACGAAAAAGTACGCATTGCGGACCATGCTTTCAATGGTTTATACAGCAGGCTCGGGTTGTTCGAAAGGTAGATAACGCTATCCACCGTATAAATCACGTGGTTTGTTTTGTTAACACTTATGCACTGGATAGCGATTTATCCGGTTGATAGCTGGGGACAGGTCTTTACCGACTTGCCGTTTGCCTCTGTTTCAGACCGAGTCCTCGTACACAGCGTTTTACAGAATAGCTTCGCACGAAGACTCGGTTTGGCACCAAGGCAGACGTAAACTCGGACATGGCTTATTTCTTTTCCGTCATTTCTTTCTTCAAGACCTTGAAGACGCCTTCGCCAAAAGAAAATGGGGAACTGATAACGCACGCCTCTATTTTGGGGATGATTATAATAACAAACGTATCGGCAGCTGGTTTGCAGTGGATAAAAGTCCACAGTGGCTGAGGATCGACTTGGCACAGAGTAAGACCAGCAGTGGAATCGCTACAGAAGGTTAGATAGTATGGGAATTCAGTCAAAAAATCAAAATATAGAATCTCATTACTGATCACCACACATTTCTTTAATGTCAGTTATGAGAATTTGTTGTTACATCGAGACAATATCTGTTAGTTGACGATTTTCTATATACTCATCACCCGTGTGCTTGGCAATGTACTAATACTGTAAACAGAGAGGGAAAGAGAGAAATCAGTTGTTGATCACTAGTGAACAGGACATTAGGATTGCTTTAAATCCAACATGTCTATTGCCGGCAGGAGTGTATTGAGTTAAGAACAATTTGAATGAGTAAGGGTAATGTGTCGTTCACCTTAAGTGTTAAAATTCCACTCATTATAACATTTCCATCTTAGGGCGGGATGTATTCGTTGAGCACATCAAAAAGTAGAGCTTGCCTTCAGCACTGATGGAACGAACTTTAAGAACTACGAGGAGAACGGAAAATCGAAGGTGAGAAGTAGAAAAAATCTTATTTAGCTAGAATCACAGAAAACAAACAAGAATGGTTTGATTTTGTAGACCGGTTAACGACAATTTACGAGAGTACGTTTTGAGAGGTGACTACAATAGGCTGAAGTGTTTAGGATTGTTTGGGATGACTCACAAATCAGTTTGCAAGCATTTTATTCCTACATGGGAGTCATGGAAAGTCTTAACTGGTGAAAGTAGTCCTTGATATCAATCATGGTTATCTACTAAAGTGCGAAAAGGCCTGAAAACTCTTAACGTATTTATTGAAGAAAAAACGAGAAGAACAGAAAGTAACGAGGGCTTTTCTTAACATGAATTTTGCATAGAGCTTTGGTTTTGTCTGAGTTTTGTTTTTTTATGTCTGATTTACATTTTATTTCCAGGTGTTTGACGGTAGTTGCGACAACTTCACACCGGTTCTAAACAGGTTTAATCCTGTTAAAACACGTTATGTCGAGGTTCTTCCTCATGACAGTCCGTCAACCTGGGTCTGCATGAAAGTTGAACTGTACGGCTGTTATGCTTAAGGTAATTTTAAGTCGCTAGATTTGTAATCTAATCATAGCTCATCAGTCAGTACTAGTCAGTAGTTATAAGTTAAGCACACATGGAAGCAGGAATGGAAGTTAAGTACAATCAATGAAACCACCACAACCACCAACAACATCATCAACAGCAAAGGTTCGTGCTCTCCCAAAGTTTCACAAATATGTCCTTTGCCGAGGTTTCCTGAACAAATTCCCGGATAATTCCCGGCCAAATCTTGAATTTTGTCGCTATTCTATAATTTTTCAGAGTTAACAAGAAAAACCCCGGCTCCGTTAAAGCAACTGATGAAAGAATGGGTCTTGTAAAATGAGATATGTTTACATTGGAATAAAAGTAGCTGAAATGCGAATATGGATGTTTTACCTGATTCTCTATTTAACATACCAGGGTTTTTGTACTTTTAAACCGTGAAATATCCCTGAGAACAAATTGACATGTTCGCGACCTTTCAACGCCAAGGGTATTTCCCGTTCTTAGTTCCTGAAAAGTTTATTTTCGCCCTGTTTTGCATAACGTTATCGAAATAAGTATCTTTTACCGTCAGAAATCAGTATTGCATCGAAAAGCTTTTTGCGGTGGGCATATTGTCTTGGGGGACGGAAGATGTTATCAAAAAGCTTTCTACTTTTCAGTAATAGTTCAGCTTATATTTGGAAGTGATATTGGGTACTTACCATTTACATGGGAAAACCGGAAATTCCAGTTGGAAAATCAAATGGTTCGCGCTATTCCGTTTGAGAAGCTTCAGAAGATATGGGCCGTGATTTGAGGTGATCCTTTAAGTCTCTCTAGCTGATGTGAATATACTTTATAGCGATTCCCTCTCCCGCAACGAGGCATTCAATTGTTTAATGTTTATGCCTGAAATTTCCAACCGGATGGTTTTTGTAAATGGTAAGCACCCATTGTGTATCAAAACAATTTTGGTGCATGGGAGTACAGCGCATGGTCAGTAAAACGTCCTAAAGATAACAATATGAGGCAACAACACTTACAACATCAACAACAACAATCTTTATTTGTACTCTCTCTCTCTATTACGTCTACTAATCGTACAAAATATCGACAGCTATTATATTAGTATAGCACATTATTATATGGTTGTGTTTCACAAGGACTGGGAACTACCGAACTCACGTATTTGATTGGCTGAAATCGATACTGAAAGCGGTCTAGATTTTCCCATCTAGACCGGCATTTAGACCGGTAATGTTTTGCGGTGAAAAAGTTTAAAAGTAAAATGCAAAAATATTGATTATTTTTTTCTAACAATATTTATCTATGGCAATGTCAAAAAGTCTGATAAGAAAAGAAAAGAAAAGCAAAGAGGACGAGCAGACTTGAACAGAATTAAGTTCAGCTCATCGCCCTTCGCAAGCAAAATGTCGGCTAGTATAAACCAGTTACATTAAACGAATTAAATTTCTCTGCTTCCCATATAATAAAGATCTTATTAACCGAGCTTAGTCGGTCTGTGTGGGAGAATTTTGATCTCGGTCGTGTGCACAGACCGAACGCAGTGAGGTCTGTACTCAGGACCTCGATCAAGATTCTCCCATACAAACCTCCTGCTCGGTTAATAAGAGCTAAGTTTAGCTTAGAAGCACAAACAAGTTCTATAGCCGTTAAACGAACTTCACTAGTCACTGAAGCCATAAAATACGTAACAGTCTTACAACAGGAAGCTTACAAAGGGAGGAGGAATGAGTATGTACTTTTAGGAACGAGGACAGCACTCGAGATAGGAGAAAATCTCAAGAAATATAGCAACCGAACTATATATGAAATATATAGCAACCGAACTAATATATGAACTGCGGTAGTAGATGAAAGTGAAGAATGATCATCGCAGTTAATTTTCCAATTTAAGCAATTTTTTTTCAGGCTTCTTCTTTCCAATTGCTTAAATTGGAAAATTAACTGCGATGATCATTCTTCACTTTAATAGGAAAATTGTAAGAAAAAGAATCATCTACGTGTTGTTAGTTCTCTTAGAAAAGTAAGCAATAGAATAATAAGATAACCGCGCGGGATCATTCGGGACAGTGCTGGGTCACAGTGGGAAAGTTACCGGCGGAAAGTGCTTGGGAGATGATGGTTTTTTAGTTTTGCACTTAATCCGTTGAGGAAATATGACTTTCCAGTGGCTGATACAGACCTTGAACTAAAGGGGGGTGCGGGGGGAGGGGGGGGGGGCTTACTCTGTCGGCTTTTCTTCCTTCGGTGATTTCATTTTGTTTACCCAAAATAAGGGGGGAGGCCGGGCCCCTCGGCCCCCTCCCCTAGATCAACCACTCCTTTCACTTTGATCGTTTCTGTCGAGCAAAAATTGGATACTCTAGTGAAGTAGTTATGAGTGACAAGGGTTTGATTCAACTCACATAGTTTTACATCAAATTAAGCGACAAGAGTAATTTGGATAACACAATTCTCAATTTTAATCAATCAGTCAATCAATGAAACAATCAATCAATAAATTTTTCAAGCAATGAAGGATTCGAGCAACCGAGCAGCTTATCAATCGACCAACCAGTCAGTCAGTCAGTCAGTCAATCAATCAATAAATTTATGAATCAATCAATTACTCAATCAATCAGTCACTCAGTCAATCAATCAATTAATCAATCGATCAAGAACGTGATAATATGTAAATAGACTAAATGGAAAAAAAATTAAACCAGTGGAATAAAATAAAATCATCTCTTTAGGTAAAGATAGATCAAAAGACTGAAAAATTATTTATAATTGTATATACATTTTCCGTGATAAGTCAATTGTTTAAAAGCGTTTTATCAAATATAAAAAGCTTGTTTTAAAAAAAGAAAAGATAAAACAAAACTAAGAAAAAGCGCTACAATAAGAAATCAAAAATTACAATGCAATCTAAATAGCTACAAAATCACACGAACGATAACTGAATGATTTAAGTTCAATTATCCGTCTAAGATCTGGAAAGATATTAAAAACTATCAGCATTACTGGCACTCGGTAGTAACTTGTTTAACTTGTCTATCAATTAACTAATCAATTTAGAAAATCAAAAAAAGTTCTCATATTTTAAAAAGAGAAAAAATAAAATAATGAAAAAAATCTGTCACAAGAATAAATCTCAAATTACATTGACATTGACTACGAGTACTCCTTATTTCGCTTAGTTCGTCGAGCGAGACGCAAAAGAAAACCGCGAGAAAAAAAAATGACCGCGCGAGATCCTGGGGGCGACTCGCACGGCCATTCTTTTTTTCTCGCGGTTTTCTTTTGCGTCTCGCTCGACGGACTAAGCGAAAGAGTGAGTACTCGTTGTCTAATTGAACTCTAATTAGTGGCAAACTTATACTAAAAATGACTAAATGATTTAAGTCCAATAATCCGTCTACGATTTGAAAAACAATTCAAAACTACTAGCATTACTAGCCCACACGCCAGTAACTTGTTTAATACGTTGCTGGGAACCGAAGAAACGGGAAGCTTCGACAGTTTGAACGCCACTCCTGCTAATCTTGTTTCGTTTGAGATACTGATTAGGCGTTTTAATGAATACTTTGGATCAAACTGTTTTTTTTTGTTGCGTTTTTTTTCTCTTTTTACATAGGAAAGTCATTTGGCCCATCAATCATAGATTAAACTAAACATTTGGTCATCTGTAATGAATTCCTAACAGGACAATATTTCTGAATCTATTTTAACTCAAATTATTGCACATCCTGTAGCTTAGAGAAAGCACATAATCTGTCCTCATACAATGTTTTTCCTGCCTGGTTTCATTGCAATAGCAATATATTAGTATTTCAATTTGTAGAAACGCATGAAAACGAAAAATCCCAAGTTTACCTCAAACCTTAAAACAAGAGTAATCCTGTCCCTGTTTTTAGTGAGACCGAGACACAAGATCAGGAATAAAGAAAGTTTAATTTCCACCAGACTGGATGATTGAAAAGTACCGCCCTGAAAAATCTACGAAACATTACGCGATATGAATGAAAATTGAGATGTTTGAATGGAGATACTAAGAGATGCATCAGCCAGTTGTGCTATTGATATCAGGGAGAGCGGTTGGTTACATACTACACGTACTGACGAGTTAATCTTCTACTTCAATATGTAGACTTTCTTAGCTGCGCTAGTCACGAGAATACGTCCATCTCGCGCTGTTGCTATTGCAGCAGGACGTGTTAAATCAGTTATAGTTTTGCCTGTGAAGCGACCGTCTAAAGAAAACTGCTGAACTCGGTTATTGCCACAATCACATACAAGAAGATTATTGGAGCTGTCTACAAGCATACCATGGGGCGAGTTAAATTGTCCATCTTGACTTCCTTTTTTTCCAAACTTGTACAAGAAAGTTCCTGACTGATCGAAAACTTTAACACACTTGTTGCCTCCTTCAGCTACAAGAAACATGTTTTTGTAAGGAATGCAGCTTGTTGGATAACAGAGTTTCTCTGGGCCGCTGTCTCCAAACATGGTAATAGTCTCACCCTCTTGTGTCATGACCTGTATCCTATGATTGAGCCACTCGGTTACAAAAATGTGGTGTTGTTCATCCAGGCAAACGTCAAGCGGGCTGGAAAACTCTCCTTTTGCTGCGCCATTTTTTCCAAAGCTTTTTACAACAGTTCCTGTCTGGACATCTACTTGTCGTAGTCTATGATTCCCTTGATCAGCAATCAGAATCTCGTTATCGTTTAAATATGTAACACCCACTGGGCGGTTAAATTGTCCGCCATTTCGTCCTTGGCTGCCAATTTTTCTTATACAGTTGCCTTCTTTATCGAAGATATATACACAGTGTCCTTCGTAATCTGTTATAGCAATGTTCCCTGTCGTATTTACAGCAATTCCAGCTGGCCTATGAAGCTCATCTCGTTGAAATAACTTCAAGTTGAAGTCACCGACCACAGCAAGTTCACGTTTTTCGACTTGCGTAGTAAAAGGGCAGTTCGGAAGTTTATCGTCGTTGATCTTCACTTCAATGCTATAGGCGCCCGGCACTTTTGGTGTAAAATTCACCTTGAATTTACCGTTTTCTTTCTCGATAACAATCACATTTGTGACGTCTTCAGTTGGTGTAATGACTACTTCAATTTGATTTTTAAGATCAGGCTGGTTGTTTATCTCTCCCTCAGGTGTTCTGGGGCATAATATCAATTCTGCTGCTACACCAGCCTGAAGAATTTGATCCAGTCCTTCCAAAGTGCATTGACTTGCATCAAC